GCAGAGCAAACATCTTTTATCACTTCTTATCCCATGCATGAGAGAATGTGGGGCATGAAAAACCTGTGTTGTCCTTACGAGACCTTGTTAGGGGTTCCTGAATAACTATAGTTCTAGCTATAGCTAGTCCTGATTAATTGTTCCAGAATAAGAGCCTCTTACTCAGAAGAGGATTAAGTTAATTTGGAGCAAGGCATTCTTCTTCTGAAACAAGAGTGTCTACACAGTTATTCAGGAATAGCTATTTTGCTTTAAATTCATATTCCACCATATCCAAATTAACTCTCAAGTGTAAACAAGTCCTTATTTCCTTGGGAGTTGGGAGTCAATCTTTTCATGAATGAACAATTTCAGTTCCTTATTTTTTTTTAATAGTTTTCGTGGGTAAGAGACTGAAATTGTCACATTTTGTTTTTCTCTGTCTCTTACTCACATATCTAACTGAGAAAAGTCGGGATTTTTTTGTTGTTGTGATCCTTAATGAGGATGTTAGCGTCCCCAGTAGCGGTTTGCCCTTAACTTAAAAACTCGGGTTTAAAAAGAGCACATGCTGTGATCTCTGTCCATCAAGGGAGAGGTTGGTACCAACCTTCCACAGTTCAGAAAGATGTTTCTAGGAAAGGGTTCATCGTCTGCACTCAGCAAATACTGTTAATAATTATCCACCCACTAGGTACTGATTCCACTGTTAAATCCTCTTGTCTACCAGGTACAGAGCTTTGTTCCTTGCTTTGACAGTACTGGGATAGGGTTTAAAGACGTGTTTCTTTTCCAAATGGAGCGAAGCTTCTTCAGTGGTTTCCTCTCCTTTTGAAAATAGAGAAACTTCCAAAGCACTAAGCCTGTGAGTACTGACTGACTCACCGAGGGGATTAACAAAGATAACATACATTCTTTCTGGATTACTTGGGCCGAAACTTGCTGCAAGCCTGAGCAGCCCTTGTCCTCTACGGGGTAAACTGAGACTGGCTTTGTGTCTGTAATAGTCCTTGGTGAATTGTCTATTGGCAACATGATATTTGAGAGAGTGGATTGCAGGGTTTGGGCTTGGTCCTCTGCTGCTTGTTTATAGGTGCCCCAAAGCTGCAGAAAAAGGATCAGAAACATCAATCGGTCTAAAATGGAGTCTCTTAGTAATGTTTTACTGGCTAGCAGAGGCTCTGCTCTTGTCAGATGTCAAATAGACATCATTACAGTCATGCAGCTTTCATTCACCTGTTGAATCATCTCGGAGCAGTGCATGTTGGAAACTCAGGTTCTCACAGCCCTTGCCTGTTACTGGAGATGTAATACCAAAAGGAAGACATGTGATGTCCTGAACACTCTTCTGACAGCAGCCAGAATAAAGCCTGTGATGTCAGTGTGCTTGTTCTTTTCTTGACTCACGAGCTGTATTTTGCTACAGAGAGCAGTGATCCTTCATATTGAGTTTTGCTGCAGTTCTGGGGCTGGAGCACTTGCCATGTATACAAAGATGAATGTCAGAAGTCCTCTGGTTAAATGGTTTTTGTGAGTGACGACACCCAAATATTCCTTCAAGGAGAGTTCCGACACACTTTTCCGAATGCATTCAGTCTCCTCACCGAGCCTCCTACCATTGCGTGGTTGTATTTTCCCTGTTATCAGGGAAGCTGTACATTTCAGTCACGAAAAGTGAGCTGTAATAATAAAGGGACTGAAAATAACTTGTCAAGGGGAAAACCTCGCACCCTATACACTATCTCAAACATCAAATTCAGAATGAGGCATCATGTTCCCCATAACTTGGCTTTATGAAAGCAGCACAGTAGTTAGACTCTGTTTACTTGTTTTGAATCCCAATGAGGCAGCATGTGACTTGGCTTCACTGATGTTCTTTTGGAAACCTGAACGCACTATACTCGGATATTGATACAGACTTTCAAAGTTGACAGTAACTGGGGCCATCTCAGATAGTTTGCAGTCACTGATTGCAGAAGTATAAATTAGGATTTGTAGGATCACATTAAAAACCAAATCATTAAATTGTATCCTGTTTAAATAAACCTTCATGACACACTCCTACAAATCCCGTTGCCACTCCCTGGTCTTGGCAGCACACTTCATATGTTGCTTCCTCTAATGCAGAATTTCATCCAAGTTCTTGGGCATGCTAAAAGTTGTCAATCGTGTTGAGGATCCTCATGCTTTTTGTGCACAGTGTTAAACCATGTTTCAATCCTGCAAAAGGAACAGGTAGTCTAAAAAAAAAAAAAGATTTTACAAAGGCAGTGTGGTCCAGTGGATAGAGCACTGAACTGGGTATCTACAGACCTGATTCTATTCCCAGCCTGCCCCCTGTATAGTGACCTGCTAAACTAGGCTATGCTGCCTTTGAGGAGAGGCAGAGGCAAACCAAGACAAAAGGGATCATTTTAAATTTTTAGAACTTTATAAGGGAAAAACCCAAAATTGGACCTTGAGCATAAATAATATAGAACGTTACCAGACTTACTACTTGTAATAATAAACTATAGCTTACCAACTCATTAACCTTTTATGAGCTTGTACACGCTGAGCAGTTTGTACCAAATGCATTGTTGTTAACCACAACAAAAGAGGTTACTTAACAATATACAGTATCATTTCAGAGTATAATTAGCTTTCCTTCTCCTGGCTGCTTTGCTTCTCTTTGGCTTGAAGTGCTCAATGTTTAGATTTGATGTTCTTGTGCCTGTACCTCTTTTCACTGAGTTTACCCACAAGCAGGGTTTCTTCACTTCCTGGGCCCTCACTGGTCCACCAGGCACCTTTTGAACTGTATCCTGTCAGTAGATATTTAAACAGTCATTCTCTCCGTTCATGTACTTTAGGCTTCTTGTTTACCTTTTCAGGTTCTGTTTCATCTAATACAGCTTTTTGAGCAATTCTCTTTTTCACCAATTATATTTCCTTTCAGGTTTTTTCCCCTTGATACTCTTTCTCTGGTAGATCTGTAGATTTTATTTCCCTCTGTTTCCCTTCTCTAATAGTGCCTGCTCACCTACCCAGGTCGTTGTCTTCTTTTTTAAAATTTTCTGCTTCTCCTGACCTGAAACCTTTCCTCCTTCTCACTTCCCAGTCCCCTACTTTTATTCTCCTGTTCTTTTATTTTATCACCTCACCTCCTACCCAGCCTCCGGTTCATCTGCTAGCTCAGCATCTTGACTCTTCTCTTTCTCTAAGAGCTTTTCCAACTGCTCCTTCGGGTAGATTCTGAACCCCCTTCCTAGCTCAGGCTGCCCTATCCTGGCCCATCTCTCTCCCCAGGACAGCAGTCTGTGCTGCAGTAGGTGCTAGCTAGTGCCAGGGTGAGGGTTAATACATATGCATTGGGCAGTTCAGTTCACCTGTGTGTGTTTCCCAATCCCTAAAATGAGATCAATGAGCCCCTTGTTTGTAAAGTAATTTCAGATCTGCAGGAAAAACGTGTTACAGAAGAGCTAGCTATTATTTACAGTGCTTATATGTCCCAGGATGTAAATTCTCTCTAACTTTTGTGAAAGTGGCTTAGAACTGGATCCCAGTTATGGAAGGCATAAGGCTTCTGTACACTGACGTGCTGTGTTAAGCACTGTATCGGAGGTGTTTTTCCTCCTTAGGGTTCTTAACGATATTTGCACCATTCAAGCTGCTTTTTCTATTGCTTTGAGTGGTGTCTTATCAATCTCAGCATAGAGCTGTTGTGATATACTTCAGCCTTGGGGTATGGTTGTGGCCAGATTAAATGGGGAAAGAGGTACTTGTTAAAGTGAATGTGAATAGGGAAAGAAGAGTAAAGAATGAAAAGAGAAAACAGGGTGTGGGGAAAGGGCGTTTTGCGCTACAGTGAATAGAAAATATGTATATTTCCAAGTGTAAAAGCAATAAGAGGTCTGAATTTTCTACTTTTCATGTTGTTCAAAGATTGTATGAACCTGAGTGATAAAAGTTTAACTTGGGTTGTACTTAAAATATTGGATTTTTTTTTTTTTGTATTTGCAAACAGTGGCAACTGGGGTACAGAATGGAAAAGTTTCTGGATAAATGAGGAACGCCCGGCTAGGCCCTTGTTGATAGTTGTTTATATGAGTTACTGGCAGATCCCGTCTGGTTGCAGTGCCAGCAGATCTCATCAGGATTTATATTAAGCAGTATACAAAATCTTCGTTCACTTTCATCTCTGCCTCCTCCAACGTGGGGAGGAGTAACAGTTCTTAAGTGATCAGCATTTTCCTGTGTTGTTTGGGTGTAGTAGAGGGATGAATCTCCATTGAAACCTACTGGTTGACTTTACTGAATAAAATGAGATTCCCATGCTGGAGAGCAGGCAGCAATCCATGAATTCGAATAAGTAATTAACCCATCACAGCTACTGGTATATAGACACACATATAATATAAAACAAATTTTTTTAACCTAGGGTATCATTAGAGTGGGTGGGTATAAATTTGGACTATCAGTAGCAATTTGCAGCTATGGAAACTTGTGGAGGTGTTCAGACCTCCAAGTTCAGGGTGCAAGTTTCACTGAAGCTTCATTCCAGTGAAGCTATTGTTATGCAATTGTTGTCTGGTGTTCATGCCAAGGTTATTGTGAACCCTTAATGTCCTTGGATTCATTATTGAAACCTGCTTGCTCCTTTTTGGATGTTTTGGATACCTTCAATAAACTCCACAGCCCATGCTCTGCTGTCAGTTACATCAGTGCAGTAGAAGTGAAGTCAATAGAGTTGTACCAGGCTAGGGGAGAGAAGAATTTGTTGTCAAATGTCCTATTCCAGTATTATATTAGTTCTCCTGTAAAACATTGGGTGGATGCCTTGAGGCTTAATTTAATTTGTTTCAAAGTCCAGGTCTGGAGCACAGAAGGGATCTTCTTGAACCTTATGTCAAATGTATCTTTCCCTTTTGTCTGGTCCACCTGATGAGATTGATTGATTGATTTTTTTTTTTATTTTTTAAAAAATTTTTTTAATTCCTCTTTTTCTTTTTTCACTTTCAGTGTTTCTTTCTTCTCCACAGGCCTGGTGTGATCACCATGCAAGCACTTTCTGAAGAGGACCGAAAGCTTTGGATGGAAGCTATGGATGGCCGGGAACCGGTAAGAAGGGACAGTAATGAATACCGGTTGAGAAGACTCAAAAGGCTCTTTTGATAGCTCAGTTGTCTGCTGTGAAGCAGTGTGTCATGCTGAATTTGCCAACCTCCATGGGCACTGTATCCATGGGGCAGCTCTCTGGTTCTGGCACGAGACTCCTTTAAAACTCTGATTAAATATTTGAGGTAATACTCTATCTCCTGTGCTTAAATGGCTTGAAGGCTCTGGCTACCTTTGCTCCTGTGGAACATAGGCTAAACTAGCACAAATAGCTCCCGTGCTGTTGTGTTGTGGTAGCAGGAAAGCACAGCAACAAGATCTAAGGAAGAACATATGGAGTGTGTGATTCGCAGGGTTTTCTGGGGCCTGCTGCGCTCAGGGGACTTTACAGTGTTTCAGTAAGAGTCACAGTGCTACACCTCCTCCTTCAGTAGCTCACATCTTGTGATTGTGTTGACTCCTGCTTTGCCAAAGGAGCACAGCAAATGGGTTTCACAAGCAGTGGAGAAGATGGAGGTTTCCCTTGTATGCCACTTCTGCTGGTTAATGTGGAGGAATTTTAATATTGATAATGCATGGGTTTTCTGTTGTAATTTTGATTCTAGCACTATGTGTTACAGCACAGTAATGAACAGTCAAGGTTAGTTCCTATGTAATATAAATACCAATCGGATTTGAGGCCCGAAGTAGAAAATTATTACCTAAGGATTAAAGCAGTGGTTGAGATGAAGCTCGAATTGCATGACTGCAGGTGCTCTTTAAACTCTTGGGCAACATTTTAAGGTTGTGACCCTCACATTTCAAAATGTTCACCATTTAAAAGACACTGTGTTCAAAATTGATAAAGGAAGTGCATAATTAGGCTGTAGGTCTCCATTGCCACAGGAAGTCACTGGGGCTTAGAATTTAGCAAGGTTCACAAAGGAATTGGACATTTATGTAGATAACAAGAATATCTGGAGTTGTTGTCATCAATAGCTATACATTTTGGAAGAGTTTTTGACCTCATGCTTCAGGGTTTAAGTTAGTCTCTGTCTATTTCAGATCAGGATGAGACCATATCTACCCACTGTGGGTGTCTCACAGCTTCCTCCAAAGCATCCGGTGCTGGCTGCTGTGAAAGACAGGATATTGATTTAGATGGACCTTGGGTCTGATTCATTAGGGCAATGACTGTATTGGTTGCTTATCTGATGCTGGCTGTGTGTAGAGAAGTGGTGAGTAAGCAAAGGTGAAACATGCCTGTATGCAGCGGGCTGGACACCTGTTGTGACAATTTAGGGGGTGGTTGCATAGCAAAGGCTAGTTTTGGTCAGGCCAAAACCTGACTCTTGGACTGGTTGCAATGGTTCAAGAAACCAAAAGGCTTAAGTGTATGTGTCCTGGTTACTGTTAAAATACGGCATTTCCTCACTGATTCCTGTAAACTCTTCAAGACTTGGAGAAACTGTGATGTTTAATCAGTTACTCAAACATATGAAATACTGATTTTCCCCCCTGCCTCCCCATGGAACTCTGACACTAAAACTGAGTTCTGGGTAGTGCTTAATTGTAGCTACAGACTCCTCATTTCCAGGAACAGTCTCCTGAGGAAGGCTTCATGCATAGAGGGAAAGTTGGCAGGCACCAGAAAGAAATGGGGTTAGTCCAACTGGGTGTATGTGATAATGCTAAAAGCCCAGCACATCCCATCCCTTCCTTTTCCCCCTGAGTTTTTGGGACCCCTTTTTGGTACATGATAGCCAGTCCTTCCCTTTGCTTCTTGTCTAGCTGGAAGCAATCCTATTAAGAAAGTATTTCTATATAATTCAAACCAAGTTCTCTGGCTCCCATATGTGAGCTGTCTTTTCGCTTTTAAATTACAACCCATCTGGTTTCTGCAGTGGCTGCTACAGAAGTGAGATGGTAATATTGCTTCCTCCTCCTAACGGCAATAATAAAAATAGCACACTCAATTAAAAGAGCGAACAAGACATGTACAGTAAAACACATGACATGATCACAAATTGCCCTTCTCTTGTCCTTCTAATCTTCTACTCTCCCTACCCCAACTTCACTGTACCTTTTTGTTGTGAGGATAGCTTCACTGTACCTTGTTGTTTGTGGGATAACTCAGTGGTTTGAGCATTGGCCTGCTAAACCCAGGGTTGTGAGTTCAATCCTTGAGGGGGCCATTTAGGGATCTGGGGCAAAAATTGAGGATTGGTTCTGCTTCAAGCAGGGGGTTGGACTAGATGACCTCCTGAGGTCCCTTCCAACCCTAACCTTCTATGATTCTATGATATAAGCCCTGTGGTCCTTCAGTTGCTTACACAGATTCATTCACCCAGGTTTCGTCCTGTTGACTGCATCAGGTTTTGCACAGATGGTACGGTCAGTCTGTTAGGATTACAGGATCTGTGCCACAGATTGTAAACACCTCTGGTCAGTGACCTTGTCTTTTACTTGTTTGTAAAGTGCCACTGTGATGAAGTGGGACTGTTCTTAATGTTTCCTCTGAATAGTGTGGGGGTGCCTCAGTTTCCCCTAGGCAGTTCTTAAGTATCTAGGGGGTGGGGTAAGGGTGTATGATCATTGCAGAGCCTAGAGGGCAGGTGTGTGCAGGAGTCTGGACACAGAGAATGGCCGACACCCTGTTTCCTGGCAACTGATGGCCTGGGCCCTTCCCCCCCTGCAAGGTGAGAGCTAAAGGGTTGGAGAACAAAGGAATCAGGTGACCACCTGGCCCGGGAAAGGAACAAAGCCCAGAGGAGGAGGGGCTGGAGGGGGTTTTCAGTTTGGGGCTGGCTGGGACATGGAGTGAAGTGCAGACGTGGTTGTCTGGCTCACTGCCCCCCAGAATGGACCCAGCTGAGGGGTCCCGTTCTCTGCACCTGCAAGCTCTGTTTTAGACCATGTTCCTGTCATCTAATAAACCTTCTGTTTTACTGGCTGGCTGAGAGTCACGTCTGACTGCGAAGTTGGGGTGCAGGACCCTCTGGCTTCCCCAGGAGTCCTGCCTGAGCGGACTCGCTGGGGGAAAGCGCACGGAGGGGCAGAGGATGCTGAATGCTCCGAGGTCAGACCCAGGAAGGTGGAAGCTGTGTGAGCTGTGTGTCCTGAAGACAGGCTGCTCACAGAAAGGCGACTACCCCAGAGTCCTGACTGACTTCATGGGGAGCAGTTCCAGAGCATCGCCCAGGGACTCCGTGACAACTGGTGGCAGCGGTGGGATGTACTGCACCCCGTGGATGGCGCTTCCTGCAGTAAGTGACTGGGGAGCAGTAACATGAAGGGGGATTGCCGAGGACCAGGCCTGCTGAAGGCTCAGAAAGGAGCGGTTTCGGGGGGCGGTTAACCCCTGGGAGTGTGTGACCAGCGAGAAGGACTGTGCAGTAATGGGGTCCCCCTGGGGACTGCAGTGAGCAGTCTCAGGGGCGGAGGAGTCTGCAGCTCGACCCTGGCAAAGAGGTGGTGACCTCGAGAAGGGCTGGCACACTAGGGGTTCTCCCTGGAAACCGTGGGGAGCTGAGAACACACGGGCCTGTGAGTCCACAACAACTTGGGAGGAGCGGAGTGATGGCCTGTCACCGTCTCCTTAAGAAGGACATTGTAACCCTGTGCAAAAAGAGAGGGTTGAGTGTTGGAAAGTTCACCAAAGCAGAGTTAATCGTGCAGCTGGAGGAGGATGACTGCTCTAAGGAACAGATTCCTGACCCCAACTGGGGCTATAGCAGGATCTGGGAGCAGCTGGAGCGGGAGCCAGGCATCGCCAAGACTCCTGTCCCCGACCAGACGGGGGTCTTCACGATCGGGTTCCCCATCGGGGGATCGAGACGGACGGGATTGGAGCTGAGTCCGAGAGAGCAAGAGGACCCTGGGAGATAGCGAGAGCCCGAGAAAGAGCTGCAGAAGCAGCAGCAGGATGAACTGGCGGTGGGGGAGCGGAGAGGCCTAGGGGACCTCCCAGGGGTGAGTGGGGATAGATCCCGGGGACCAGTTCCGCGGGGAACCTCGAGACTAAATTGCTGCCCCTGGTTAAGGGGGGGGTGTGTGGATGCCCACCTCACTGCCTTTGAGCAGGCTGGCGATTTGAACCAGGGGGACCCTGCGGAAAAGCCCCTGTGTCTAGCTCCCTTGCTGGGTCCCAAGGCCATAGACTCCGTCAGCCAGATGGTTGGGGATGTGGACAAGCTCCCACTCCTGACCCCAACCTATATGTCTGTGTGGAGTTTCCTGGGGCCAGGCCCCTCGGACCTCCAGTGGGAGCAGAAGGTGATGGTCAGTGGGGAGACATTCTTGGGGTGGCCAAAGGGCATGGGCTGCATAAACCTTCCCACATGCGGCCTGCGAGTGCTATCGATCACCCCTGACCTAAGGGAGGGTGTGAAAATGGAAGGGCCTGGTGTAACTCCTACCAAGGAATGGGAGAGATGCTGGGGCATCCATGGGAACGTTGGTGGCTTCGAACTTCCCCAGGTCACCGGCTAAAGTGACCCCGCTCAGTTCGATCTCGAAGGGGGGAGAGATGTGATGAAGTGGGACTGTTCTTAATGTTTCCTCTGAATAGTGTGGGGGTGCCTCAGTTTCCCCTAGACAGTTCTTAAGTATCTAGGGGGTGGGGTAAGGGTGTATGATCATTGCAGAGCCTAGAGGGCAGGTGTGTGCAGGAGTCTGGACACAGAGAATGGCCGACACCCTGTTTCCTGGCAACTGATGGCCTGGGCCCTTCCCCCCCTGCAAGGTGAGAGCTAAAGGGTTGGAGAACAAAGGAATCAGGTGACCACCTGGCCCGGGAAAGGAACAAAGCCCAGAGGAGGAGGGGCTGGAGGGGGTTTTCAGTTTGGGGCTGGCTGGGACATGGAGTGAAGTGCAGACATGGTTGTCTGGCTCACTGCCCCCCAGAATGGACCCAGCTGAGGGGTCCCGTTCTCTGCACCTGCAAGCTCTGTTTTAGACCATGTTCCTGTCATCTAATAAACCTTCTGTTTTACTGGCTGGCTGAGAGTCACGTCTGACTGCGA